GCATCCCGCCGTGCCCGGCCCTGCCCAGCGTCCTGGGCGGGCCGCAGTGGGCCCAGGCACCGCAGCCGGGGCCGTCGTGCGGGCCCTGCCCCGCACCGCCGACCTGCCCAGGGGAGCAGGTGTGCCGCTGCTGGACGCTGAGCTTCTCTCTGTTCCTCGTGGGGGTGCTCGTCGGGGCGCTCATCACGAGCGGGCTGGGGAGCTGCTGCCGGCCGACGCCGACGAGTTCGCGTGCTGCGCCTGTCCGTGCCTTGACGGCGGGAGCTGGCCAGGATGGCGACCACTCAGTGGGTATACGTCTGGTACGCCGGCGAGAACAAGTGGCACCAGCACCTTAACTTAGGCAGGATCGCTCTCAGTCGGAGTGATCACGTCATCTACACTGCGGATGGCGACATGTATATCATCCAGATCCAGGATAATCCAGACATCCAGGCGACGAGGTTCGGCACGTACGCCACGCCCCCCGTCGGCCTGCGGCGGGCCGACGTCTACGGCTTCAGGCAGGAGCCCACCCAGGCCGAGGTCCGCCAGCTCGTGGTCGAGGCCGAGGAGGTGGCGGGCCAGGAGTGCAGGCGCCGGGCGGAGCTCATCGGGGACTTGCAGGTGCTGCGCGGGCTGAAGGTGCTCGTCCCCCCTGGGGGGGCCGCTGCCGCGGGCCCGGCAGCGCCGCCGCCTGGCCCCGCCGTGGGGCTGCTGCGTGGCCGCGCTGCTGCCGCTGGGGCTACGCCTCGCGCTGGTGGGGTGGCCGACGTGAACGACGGCGTGTGGCGCGTGGCGGCGTGCGTGGGCGACTTCAGGGTGGGCGACGAGATCGTGGAGCACGTGCCGTCGCCCTCCCGCGTCGGGGATCGGGACCTCCACCTGCTCCCGTCAGGCGAGGCCCTCTTCGTAGGAGTTCGTCACCTCGGCGGCCCTGCCGGGGTTCTTGCAGCGCGCCGTGGGGGCCGACGCGAGGATCCTGCCAGTGACCCGCAACGAGCGGGGGAAGAGGGAGCTCACCTGGTCGGCGATGGTCGAGCTCACCAATCGAGAAGAGTTCGACGCCTCCGACTGGGGGCTCCCCGGCCCCCGCACTGCCGACTGGTGCATGGACTACATCCTGAACGAAGGCCTCGGGATCGAGGGCCACCACGAGCACTTCAGGTCGATCTGCAAGCTCGCGGCCTCGGACTGGGGCGTGCAGGAGCACTGCCAGCTCAGCCTGCAGCTCAAGCAGGCCCTCTGCATCGACATGCTGGACGGCTCGAATCTGGTGTCGGTGGAGACAAAGTTCAGGAGGATGCAGACGATCGAGTTCGCCCATTGGGACAAAGCGAAGGACCAGGAGAGCAAGGGGATCGGCGGCAAGCTCTCGTTGGAGGAGCAGGCCGCGTTCTCGGGCGTGACTCGGGCCCACACGGCCATCATGATCTGCCCGGACCTCATCGAGCATGTTCGGGCGGAGCTCGAGCGGGAGGGGAAGCTCAACAAGAACCTGCGCCTGGCACGCGAGGAGCGCGAGTCCAGGCGCAAACATGGGTAAGCAAGGCACGGCCACTGGGAGCGGCAGGGACCCAGTTGGCCGAACTACTTCCTGCAGAGGTCCGAGTCACTCGTCGGGCCCGAGCGCCGCCACCCCGGGTCGTCGCGTGCCTCGTGATGTCTTCCCTCTACCTTATCCTTATGACCTTCAACGTCAGCGGGGTGAGGCTTTTCGAGAGCTCAGCCGCGTCGTTCAGCAACGACATCTTCGGCGGAGCAGTTTTGAGAGGGACGTGACTCGGGCGGTGGATGCATTGAATTGGTTGAACGACTCGTCTACTCATGTCGGGCGGGACCGCAGTTTTACAGCAGGCGCCCTGTCGCTGGCCCAGCGCCAGTGCCTGGCGCACATCAGCAGCTCTGTGGAGAAACTTGGTGCTCCTCCGCGAGATCTGTCTCCCGCAGAAGCGCTACGGCAGCTTCGCGTGGCCGGGGGCGGCTACTGCGTCGAGGAGTCGCCCCTCGGAAGCTATGACCCCGCGCTCGTCTCCTTGCCGGACGGGAAGGTGCCTCCAGCACCTCTCTCGGACGTGCGGGGCGATGGCGGGATATCCAAGGTCGAGCTTTTTGTTCAGCAGAGCCTGCTGCCGGCTGACGTGGCGGCCGCTCGACTGGACGCATGCTCTGTCAAGACGCCCTACTCGGACCCTCGGCTGAGGTGCGCACGGGGCTGGGAAGGTTTCGTTCGTGATCTGCATGCTCGTAATTTGATCGACTTCTCGCTGGACGACGGGGCGAGGGTCGACGCATTTTTTGTCAAGAAGAAGGGGGGCCGCCTCAGGATGGTGATCGACTGCAGGCGCAGCAACGTCGTGTTCGCCGACCCCGCGCCTGTCGTCCTGCCCACGGGGGACTCGTTCGCCGCGCTCGAGCTGGACGACCCCGAGGGCATCCTGGACGTGGAGGGCGTTGACCTGAAGGACGCGTTCTACCACCTCGAGCTGCCCATCGAGCTCAGGAGGTACTTCGTGATGCGGCCCGTCCTGGCGGGCTCCGTCGGTGTCTCCAGCCTCGGGGGAAGCCAGGTCGCGCCCGCGGCCAAGCTCTTCCCCAGGCTGAAGGTGGTGCCGATGGGCTGGTCGTGGGCGCTGTGGTGGTGCCAGTCCATCATGGAGCGCATCGCGGAGCAGTCGGGCTGCCCTGAGTCGCAGCGGCTGCATGACGGTCGCCCTGCGCCTGGCCTCAGCGAGTTCGGGCACCTCCAGTACGTGGACAACTTCGTCAGCTTCGGCTACGATCGTGTCGCCGTCCGCGCTGCAGTGGCGCGGGTCGCGGCCGAGCTGGAGCGCCGCGGCCTGGTGGTCACGCTCGAGGATCACGCTGGGGAGGAGGAGGGCACCTTCAACGTCCTGGGCTGGGACATCGCCGCCTCGGGGAGGCTGTCCGCCTCGGGGAGACGCCTGTGGCGTGCGCGGCTCGCTGTCAGGTGCCTTCTCAGGCGAGGCCGCTGCTGCGGGGCGGACATCGAGCGCATCCTCGGCCATCTCATCTTCATCACGCTCGTGCGGCGCGAGGGCCTCGCGCTCTTCGAGGCCTGCTTCAGGTTCGTGCAGACCTCGTACCACGTGGAGGCCCCGCTCCCGGGCGGCGTCCGCACCGAGCTCGCAGTGTGGGATGGGCTGGCGCCCCTCCTCTGGCGGGATCTGAAGGCGGGCTGGTCGATGGACGTGGGCGCGGTCGACGCGTCGCCGTGGGGCCTGGGCGCCTGTCAGTCCACCTGGGCTCCAGCGGCAGTCAAGTCCGTCGGGCGGTACTGCGAGCGGTGGCGCTTCGGGCGGGCGGAGAGGCTCCCGCCCCGGCGCCGCGCTCTGGCCGCCAGCCAGCGGGCGCTAGGCCAGGCCATTGCTGCCGAGGTGGGTGACCCCGCCTCCGGCGGCCCTGGCCTCGTTGCTTTCGCGTCGGCTGCCGACGCCCTGCCAGCCGAGCCCGTCGGCCCGCCTTTGGAGCGCGACCTGGCCGAGTTCCCCGAGGTTCCAAAACGTCTCCTCGAGCGCTCGGCCTGGACTGTCACAGGGAGGAGGAAGTGGGACCGTTCGGAACCGATGCCCATTCTTGAAGCCAGAGCGGTTCATTATCACCTTCGCCACGCCCTTCGGAATGCAAACAATCATGGCAAGAAGATCTTGGTGCTAGGAGACTCTCTGACGGCTGTCGCCGCCTCGTCCCGCATGCGAGCTCACTCACACGCAATGCTCCGGGTCATGCAGCGCATCTCTGCCCTGTCCTTGGCTTCTGGGTCGTATCTGTGCGCGAGGTGGGTTCCCACGGAGTTCAATGTGGCCGACGGGCCCTCGAGGGGCAGGGGATCTCCAATAAAGCCTACAGACATCATTCTTGACAAGCACGTCCCCGCTAAGCACGACATCAATAGCAAGCACGAGTACAACATTATCAGCACAGTCAAGCACGATATTACCGACATGCCCATCATCAGCAAGTGTGGCAAGCACGACATCAGCAAGCACGACCAGCACGACATCAGCAAGCACGAGATCAGCAAGCACGACATCAACAGGCACAGCTTCACCGACAAGCACGACATCAGCAAGATAGGCCAGCACGGCAGCAGCACGCATGACACCGACATCAGCACGTTCCTTCCTTCGCATCGCCGTTTTGGTTCATGCTGTCCAGCTTCGAGGCCTTCGCCTGGCGAGAGTGGGCCCCCACTGCCCGTGCAGAGGAAGTGCGACTGGCATGCTGGGGCGGGCTCGCCGCCGGAGTCGGTCGCCGCGTGGGTAGGTTGTGTCACAGAGGATTTTGCCTTCAAGGCGGTTTGGCAGGTCAGGCTTTGGTGTGGTGGTGGTAATTGATTTTGAGCTTGACTACGAATATGGTTGCGCCTACTTTCTGCGTGAATTTATTTAAAATGGCAACGGCCGCGATTAAACATACCACGTGGATCATATGCTGTTTGTGTTTCCGACCGCTCAGTATGTTGTGTTTTTCGTGTTTCCGACCGTTAAGTATTTAATATTGAGAGTGTATTTGGAGCCAACACTAACAAACCACGCTTCCACTTGCAAGAGGAGCGAGCTGGATTTGAGACACGACAGTGCGGAATGGTTACCCATTGTGCAAACGATCGTTTTTTCTTGACCACCTACCGTGCTGTGAGACGACCCTCCGACCTCCATCACAGAGCACACATGTCTCATGCACGGTGCACAGACACACTCTGAGCATATCGGCACCGTGCGGCTGTGCCAGGGTATCGCAACTGTTCTTTCGACGCGAGGTTCAATCCCATACTGAACTCACGCTCCCAAGATACACCCTGGCCACGACCAAAAAACCAAAACACTGGCTGACAGCTGCGCAACCAAGCTTATGTTAAGCAATCCGTTTCAAAGGTGGTTTACCTTTGCGATTAGATTTCAAGGATGCAAGTGCCCTGTGGATGTAATGATGCAAGGGGCCCGTGCGATGACGAATCCATCGCTGTGAAGCTTGGTTGCGCCTGGAGGTTCTGGACCTCAGCTGTGCGTGAACGACTTCGAGGGCGAGCCACGCTCGGCGGGCTTCACCCTCTCCCTGTCATCGTTGGCGACTTTGGCCCGCACGATGGTGAACGGCACAGGCGGCTGGACGCCAACGGGCACGAGGGAGGGCACCAGAACAATCAAATCTTTCCCGAACACAGCGAAGTCTACTTTGGTATACACGACCTCATGGCTCGCAAGGCCCTCCATCACGACAGAATCCTCGGCCTTGCGCTTCTTGGACTGCGCCTCTGCCTTTAGGTACACTTACAGACAAGTTAAAATCCGACGTTACACTACCTAAAAACTTCTCCTCATCCTCCTCTTCCTCCTCAACTTCGTCCTCTTCCTCTATTCTTCGTAGTCGCTATCCTGCTGCTACTCCTGCTGATTCTGAATTCCCCTCCTGCTCCTCATCAACCCTCTTCTTCTATTTCCCCTCTCCTCGTCCTCCAATCCCCTGTCAGATCACACTGGCCTTCTTGGCGTTGAAAACTGCTGCGAGGAAGGCGTGGCAGCAGTCGCTCCTATCGGGGTTCTTGTTGACTGAGCTGTCCAAGTAGAGCGTGCAGACCAGCTTCTCCGTCTCAACGTTCTGGTCATGGTCATCAGCACGCTGCTCCTTAATGTAGACCTCCATCGGCAGGACGTTCTTCGGGTTTGACGATGTCCCAGCCGCCTCGCTGATGACGCGGCCCCAGTACGGCAGCTCGACGTGGCCCTCGTTCGTCTGGGTGATGACCACCCTCGTCTCTTTGGCACTGGCGACGAGCGTCGACACGGAAAGCAGATCGGACCCCTTGAAGCCGCCAGCGTTGATGACATTCATGTTTACAGTGTTGAGGTGGTCTTGCACTTTCGTGATCAGGTACTTCTCCTCGGCAACGCTAAGGTCGGACTCAACGAGCTCGCTGGCTTTCGTCTTGGTGATGAGCGCGGACAGGGTCTCGTCGTCAACCTCGTCAGCGAGGACGCTCCTCTCGATGGCCACCATCGACGTTGCTTGCTCCACTTGCGGCACGTACTCGTTGCGCAGGCCCTCAACGATGATGCGGTAGGCCGCTTCGGGATTCTCGCACCAGTCGAGGACCCAGAGATTCTTCTCGTGCTTGCTATGGTACAACTTCTGGTACTGTGCCACCGCCTGCGCCCTCGTAGTCCCGTATTTCAACGATGATCCGAACTGCGTAAACATCACGCGCGAGATGGATTGAATCGTCATCTTGTTAAGCTCGTCCATTGTTTGGTTGTGCTCATCTCGGAACGCCTTGTAATCCAACGTATCCAGACCCGTGTTCATGCCGAGGAGTTTCTGCATCCAGATGCGCACGTACTCGTCCCAAGGTTTGTCAATCTTATTGTTGATGTCAACGATCTCCGTCATTGTGATGGTCTCGTTCGTGTTGAGCTTCTTGTCCATGGCGTGCTTGTCGCAAGCCACCTTCATCTGGCTTTGAATGAAGACGGGAACCCATGGGAATGAAATCGTACTGCCATCTTTAGTTGAACCGTTGAACTGCATCGATCCCAAGTGGAGCATCACCTTGGTCATCAGCTGCATCCGCGTGTTCTGCACCATGGTGGTAGTAAAGCCCTTCTGCCAGACCTGCTCGAACACATTCACGGCGGACCCCCCTCCCGCGACGTGCTCCGCGAACGTCTTATTTGCTTCGCGCAAGACGACGAACTGGTCAAAGGCCTGATCGAAAGTCGTTGGCAAAGTCTCCTCGATCTTGCCCAACACCGCTGGTAGGACAATGTCACTGAACAACGTGGCCGCGTCACCGCAAGTACTGGTCGGCAGCTGTGGGAATATAGTCATCATCGCTTCGTTGGCGACCTTCGCAGGCGCAATGTGACAATCGATGCTGATGTTGGGAAGGTTGCTCGCCATGTAGTTGTACACTGTCTGCGCGTGCTTGACGAACTCCATGAGCATGTTCTCGGCCTGGGTCTCACTGATCTCCGACAACTTCGGCACACTCCCCTTGCTGGTGTCATCCGTACCCATACCGTCAATTCCATCTGGAAAATCTGGGTCCGAGGTGCGAGGCGCGAGCTTGGCACTCATGTACACCTGCCTCTTGATGGCCTTCCTGAGCGCGGTAAACTTGCGTACAGTCGTCTCCTTGCCAGGCCCCCTCCCGTCCAGGGTCACACTCCCTTTCAAGGATGCGAAGTAAGCCAGGGTCTCGTACGCAGCGATGTGGGGGTTCGCAGGGTGAATCTTTCGCAAGTAATCCGATAGGTTCTTCACGTTGTGGATGAAGAGCTTGCCCACCTCCTGAACTTGGACAGGCCCTTGCCCTTTTGATGCAGACGTGGGCGCCTTGCCTCTGCCCCTGGCGGAGCTCCTGCCCCTGCCCGTGCCTCTCCCGCGCCCTGCCGACGTCGCCGACGTCTGCTCCGATCCAACTTGTTGCAGAAGCGCTTGCTCTGCAACTGCCGCCCTGTAGTCATTGCCCTCCGCCACGATGACCTCGCTCACTTTGCTGTCGTCCATGGTCGCCAACAGACTGGACATGATCATCCCGTCGGTGATCGTCGTGGCGATGGCTGGGTTCGGCAAGCCCTCCTTGAGCAGGGGGCACTTGCCGATGGGCCTTTGAGCGTCGCACTCTTTCAACTGCAAACGTACATCAGTCTTCTCCTCATTCTCCTCCATCCTCCGTCCCTCCTCCCCCTCCTCCTCCTCCTCCTCATCCTTCTCCTCTTCCTCCCTCTCTTCCTACTCTCTCCTCCTCCTCCTCCTCCTCCTCCTCCTCCTCCTCCTCCTCCTCCTCCTCCTACTCCATCCTACTGCCCATGTAAGCTGGAACAGACAGGGAAACTACAGATTTCCATGTTTCAATTTGCCCCACTCCTCCTCCTCGACCCCCTCCATATCCTCCTCCCCCTCGTCCTCTTCCCTCCTCCTCGTCCTTCTCCCTCCCCGCATCGCCCGCCTCCTCCTTCTCCTCTTGTTCGTCCTCCTCCTCCTCCTCCTCCTCCTCCTCCTCCTCCCCCTACTCCTCCTCCTCCTCATCCTCCTCCTCATCCTCCCGCCTCCTCCCCCATCTCTGCGGGGGCCACTTTGGCACGTTTACCTCCCTCCCCTCCGTTCCTCATTTCCTCCCTTCTCCTCCCCTCCCAAGCACATCCTCCAAGGAAGCGTTTGCTCAAGTGGTCTCGGCTACTGGGCTGACCCCTTCTCCCCCGACCCCCGCGGGGGAAGAGGGGAGACGGGCAGGTCGGGGCAACAGCGGCATGCGCCATGCCCCAGCGCAGCCATTGCGCAGCCTGTTCACAGGCAGCACGAGCGAGAACAGCTGCTCCATCATGGAAGGGTCGTCCTTGAAGCGCTTGAAGATGGCGAAGCAGCTGGCGAAGATCACCCGATGGTTGTCGACGGCCCTATTCGTGAAATCAACATTGGTCTTGCACCACTCCTCGAAGAACCCACCCCTTCTGAAACGTCACGTTGGGCTGCAGTGGCTGGGGAGGCCCCCCCCCTGGTGGGGCGTAGCAGAATCGGGGGGGGGGCCCTGCCCAAGAATCCCTCCCCAGCCACCACAGCCCCAGGATGTTTCGGAATAGGGGTTCGTTGCGATCCCTAGCAGTGCTCTCCTTGAACACATCCCAGTAGGCCACCTCAGCGCCCGACCCGCGCTTGATGACCAGGGCCTTGGCGCCGGCGTAGAACTTGCGGCAATTCTCGTACATCGGGACGGAGTCCCAGCGTGGGTAATCGAACGCGGCCTTGAACATCGCCTTCTTGTTGGCCTCCGTGGCCGTCTGCCCGATGCTGGAATGAGTCCAGCCAAAATCCTCCTTCTGCTTGTCCCACGTCGCCTCGATGACGTCGGTCGACTCGCAAACCTCGACGAAGGTGGTCGACAAGGCTTTGTTGTTCATGGAGTTGCCCAAGGACACCAGCTTCTCGCAGACGTCCCTCGGGGTGTCGAACGGGAACACGGTGACGTCCTGCAAGCCGAGGGCAACGCTGCGCTGGACCTTCGCATTCAACTTCTTCGGGTCACGGTCGAAGGCCCTCTTGACGCCGTCGCACAATGACCCCCAGTGGAGCGTGGTGAAGGTGGCGGCGGGGCCCATGGCGTTATCTTTGGAGCCAGCCCTGACCCACGCACCGCCTCGGAGACCATGAAGCAAGCCTACGGTCTCGATGCTGGCGGCCCTATCCTTCACGAGAAGGAGAAGGAGCAAAGCGATGAAGAGAATAAATAAGGTAATACGGTCAAGGATGGTTGCGTGGCTGCGTTTAGAAGTTCGGCAGGGTCCAGGGTCCTCTATCGTAGCCTCGTCCCCGCGAGAGCTGTTCAAGGGGTCCCTCCAGATGGCCCACTGCCCTGCGCCGTTGATGAACTTGATCGAGGCGCCCTTCGAGATGGGATAGAAGTGAAACAGGATCTCCATGAGCTGCAAGCCCACGAACCCTGGGAAACGGTCCTCGGCACGAGCGAAGCCGTCGCCCCACACTTGGCTGTGCTTGAACTGGCTGAAATCGATGCCCGTAGACGCCACCTCGGTGGCAAAATATTGTTTGGACAACGCCCGACACCCCATAATCTAGCGGCAGCTGCCAAATACGCGTCTATCTCTAGGGGTCCATTTGGCAGCTGCTGCCAAATCTACGTATGTCTCCAGAGGTCGATTTGGCAGGAGCTGCCAAATGCACCCCCCGAGACAGACGTGGCATTGGCAGCAGCTGCCAAATGGACCCCTCGAGACAGACGTGCATTTGGCAGGAGCTGCCACATGGACCCCTAGAGACAGACGCCCATTTGGCAGGAGCTGCCAAATGGGCCCCTAGAGACAGACGTGCATTTGGCAGGAGCTGCCAAATGCACCCCTAGAGACAGACCCCCATTTGGCAGGAGCTGCCAAACGGACCCCTAGAGACAGACGTGCATTTGGCAGGAGCTGCCAAATGGACCCCTAGAGACATACGTTCATTTGGCAGCAGCTGCCAAATGGACCCTTAAGAGCAGAGGTGGATTTGGCAGCTGCTGCCAAATTTACGTCTGTCTCTAAGAGTCAATTTGGCAGCTGCTGCCAAACGGACCACTAGAGACAGACGTGCATTTGGCAGCTGCTGCCAAATGGACCCCTAGAGACAGACGCCCATTTGGCAGGAGCTGCCAAATGGACCTCCAGAGACAGACGTGCATTTGGCAGGAGCTGCCAAATGCACGTCTGCCTCTAGGGGTCCATTTGGCAGCCACTGCCAAATCTACGACCGTCCCCAGGGGTCGATTTGGCAGGAGCTGCCAAATGCACCCCCCGAGACAGACGTGGTTTTGGCAGCAGCTGCCAAAGCCACCTCTGCCCTTGAGGGTCAGTTTGGCAGCTGCTGCCAAATCTACGTCTGTCTCCAGAGGTCGGTTTGGCAGCAGCTGCCAAATGGACCCCTAGAGACAGACGTGCATTTGGCAGGAGCTGCCAAATGCACCCCTAGAGACAGACCCCCATTTGGCAGGAGCTGCCAAATGGACCCCTTGAAGCCGACGTTCATTTGGCAGGAGCTGCCAAATGGACCCCTAGAGACAGACGTGCATTTGGCAGCTCCTGCCAAATGCACGTCTGTCGCTAGAGGTCCATTTGGCAGCTCCTGCCAAATGAACGTATGTCTCTAGGGGTCCATTTGGCAGCTCCTGCCAAATGCACGTATGTCTCTAGGGGTCCATTTGGCAGTTCCTGCCGAATGGACGTCTGTCTCTAGGGGCCCATTTGGCAGCTCCTGCCAAATGGACGTCTGTCTCGAAGGGTCCATTTGGCAGCAGCTGCCAAATGGACCCTTGGAGCAACTGCAATAGCTGGCAGCAGCTGCCAAACGAGCACATAGCGACAGACGTGTATTTGGTACAATTCAAATAAAAATGCCACGCTGTGCAGTTAAATTCACAAACAACTCAAACAAAACACACACACAATACTACAGTTCAGTGTCCTGCAAATATGTGCTGTGTTGTTTTTTTTCCGAATCAAGAACAGAAATGGAAATGCGAGAGCACGCAAGTCCGACCCGACTCCCCAAGACCTGCGCATCGCCGCCGCCCAGCGCAGCAGCGGGCGCCGAAGGCGCGAGTGCCGCGGCGCACGCCATCGGCAGGTCCAGGAAGTCGCGAACGCCTGCGCCGACAGCAGGGGCGAGAAAGAGAGAGCTCGACCCCATTCCCGTGCCCCCTGCCCCTCCCAATCGTTTAGGTACGCTGATGTGGGACGCATCCCCGAACCTGTGCGATCATTAGACACAGCCTGCTGCGCACGCAAAAACCTGACTTACCCCATCGGGATTGGAGGGGGGAAGGGAAGGACGCCTAAGAGCGAGGAGCAGGACCATGAGGAGGAGGAGGGGGATGCGGGGGAGGGGGATGAGGCATCATCTGGAGGGATGGGGAGGACTGAGGGGAAGGGGAAGGAGAAGGAATAGAGGGACTAGGAGGAGGGATGATGATGATAATGATGTTGATGATGAAGATGATGCTGATGCTGCTGATCATGATGATGATGATGATGATGATGGTGATGATGATGATGGTGATGGTGATGGTGACGTTGATGGTGATGGTGATGGTGATGATGATGCTGTTGATGACGATGGTGATGATGATGCTGTTGTCTTTCAGCGCGTGTGGCCCCAAGCCTCAACCTGCTGCGTATGCTGATTCGCAGGCTGGGCACATCCAAGGGGCCATCATAAACTTGTCGCAGTCCACGCCCCATTTGGACGCGGCCCATCGTGAGCAAGATGGGTGCCACAACAAACAACAGCTGGAACACGTGTAGCTGTCATCAAGCAAAGGGCACCCATCCACTTTGACCGCCCCGCACAAAACGCATGGGGACTGGTCGTCCTGGACCACTACGGGTCCGCTAAAAGAATTCGCTTCGCACGCGTTGCGAAGGCACAAACACCACTCTGGCATTGGCTCTCTCCCCTTGGCAGTCGTTTTCCACATGGTAACTGGCACCTTGCCAATCAGGATTTTGCAACCTGCGTAGCTCTCCTCGGGGACGCCAAGGCCGCCAGGACGGGCGCCTCTCCTGGCAGGCACCAGCCATTTTACTCGGCCAAACTTGTCCAAGCTAACAGGCCGCCCATCTCTGTTGTTCGCATTACTCCATTTCACGAAGAGCACCCTGGTCTCATCACCAACCTCCGAACTGATCAAAGAGATCGTGCCATCTGCCAGCTCGCCTGAGCTATGCGTGTCGGCTGCTACGTTAGCTTCACCGATTGCGTGGAAGCCTGCTCTGCAACTGTCCATGCAAGCACGCAGCACGTTCAAGCGGTCCGCCTCGCCAAGTGCATCAATGGGGTGCACTGGCGCCAGCGCGACCACTGGAGGCGCGAGCCTAACTCCTGAAGCTGCGCATGCTGGTGATCCTAATTCAGGTGGCTCTAGGTGCTCAGGATCAGAGTCCGACTCGTCGTCGGCGTCATCCCCATCATCCCCATCTGAGCTCGACGGGGGTCCGTCGCGCGGCTCCCTGCTGTCATCGATGCCAGCACCGTCAGCTTCCAGAAGCTTCTCAAGTTCATCTTGCAAGTCAACAGTGTCGATCTCCCCCTCTGGCTCATCCGCTATAGCGCCGTCTGCAGGCCCAGCCTCATCCCTGAATCTCTTTCTGCTGATTATCTTCTTCAATCGGAATTTGTGAATGGACATGTCGTGAACTCTGGCAATTGCAGATGTGCGCGATATCCAAACCAATGGGTACTTGAGGACACAAACATCAGCAGCAGTACGTCGATCGATATCTTGTATGATGCTCGCTACCACATCCAGAACTCGCTCTATAACCAAGGGCTTCGATATATAAAACATTATAGTACCATTGTGTGCTTGAATGTCGCCACAAACTGAATACAGTGTACTGCGGAACGCATGTGCCCAAAGGTATGCCGACCCTCCGTGGTCCACTTCAGCCAGGTCTTCGCAATTAACCAGCAGCTTCATCGCGGCGCCAGCACCGATACCAAATTCAGTCTTCACAGAGCGAGCAATAAACCCAGCACGCAGCAGTGGCAACGTGTACGTCGTTGGTCGCTCTTTCGCAGGATCAGCATGCTCTACAATGTGAAGTGGCGCGAACCTTGTATTGCACGTGGGTGTGTTCTCGTATGCAAGTACCTGATGATGCAACACGACGCAGTCTGGAGGAGTCGGGCGTTCACCTTTTTTGAGAGACAGTCTAGCGTTCGCGAGTGGCTGCAACATGGCAGGCGCACGCTTCGCCATACACTGTAGAATATTATGGGTTCCTTCCACTTCTTGCGTATACCCAGGCCACTGCGATCTCAACGCGATAAGAGAATTGTACATCACGCACGTGCAGCGCCCATCCTTTGCCATAAGAACCACATCTTCGTAGAAGAGCGAGCGAAGTTTCCAAGCCATGTCCGAGTGCACGCTGGCGAGATCGTGGCGCTCTTTGCCAAGCCACTCCAACGCCAACTCTTTCCGACGATCGCACATATCATCTGGTGGAGTAGTGAGCATGTGAAAAATCTTGTATGGCCATTCATCAACGACGTCCATGACCCGAACTTTCCATTGAGCAGCACCTTGGATAACAATTGATACAAACAACTCAAGACCAGCACTGTGAAGCCTCTCGCACTCTGCACGTAGCGTGTCCAGTGCGCCTGATAGTAGTGGTAAATCTGCAGTCAGCAACCCAGAGTATTTCTCGTTAAAATAGTCGGCCTTCTCCGAAACAAGCAACGACATGACAGTTGGACCAGTGTGTACAGAGGATGGGCTGCGCTCTCGGGAGTAATTTTCCGGTTTGGTAATTTTTTGCGACCAGTGGAACGCCTCCATCACTGCTTGTTTGGCACAATAAGAAATCGCGATCATGGCTCCGAAAACCTGCGCCTCACACAACTCACGCGCAATGCGGCGCCACCTGCCCATTTTCACCTCAGATCTCGGGGTGGCGGTGCAATGAGGGGGGTCTTCGGTGCGAACCTTGCATTGGGAGAGGGCGGGATGAGGAGGATGGGGATGGGTAAGAGGGAGAAGGAGGAGGACAGAGAAGGGCGGGAGGAGGAGGAGGGGGAGGAGGACGAAGACGAGGAGGAGGGGAAGGAGGGGGCAAATTGAAAAGAAAGAGAAACCTGCACTTTCTATTTACACATTGAGGAGGAGGAGGAAGAGGAGAAAGAGTAGGGGGATGAGCATTTGGACGCACACCACGTTGGATGTTTACGTACGGTGGCATCTACGTGTAGAAGGGGAACAGGGATCTAAAGGGGGCGGGGCTTCGTGGGGCGACCTCCCGTGACGATCACCCGATAGCCCGAGCTTGTTTTGTTGTTTGAAATGTTGGAGTGTGCGTCCGTGGCCTAAGCTACTAGCTACAAGGTTCACACCGCCCCCCTCTGGCACGCATGCATCCCCCCACCTGGTAGTGACCATCTTCGTCATCAGGGTCAAGGACTTTATCCTCGGGATGTGTTCTCAACCAGCCCTCCGCAGTTTTACGTCCCACATCCCCCTCTGTTTGGTTTGTCGCCTCCCCCCCCGCTCGTCCCCCCTCTTCCACCCTCCCCCCTCCCATCACCCTCATATCCTATATCCCCCTTTACGTCCCCCTCACCGCTCTCATGGTCCTGCCCCTTCCCGTGTTGTTTTGTGTGCTAGGGCAGATTGAGAACACAGGCTGCCTCGTCGACAATCTTGGCGCCCTTGAGCACCTTCGCAAACACGCTGGCGATGTGCACCCAGTCGTGGACGAGCCTCTTCTCGACCGCGTCGACGCTGCACCACCGACCAGATATACAACGCCCAGGCAAAATCTTGAAGATCCGATGCGCCAGCACAGGGTTGAACAGCTTCGTAGCAGCAGCTTTGAGCTTCCTGTGCATACCAGGTGCCCTCCACGTGTTGACCAGAGTCTTGAGAGCACTCGTGTATTTGACTGGAAGCTCATGCCCAGGCCATGTGAAGCTGTCTGCGAACTCTAGATTCTTCTCAACAATTTTGTGGTAACTGTGCAACGAGCACCACTGCACATGTACAATCACATTCGGCACACTCTGCATTTCAGCCACTACCAGCCGCCCAAACTTCTGGCAATCGGGCCCTTTGTCCAAACCGAACATAAAGGCGCTAATTGTGTTCTCTTTCCGACAACGCCAATCTGGACAATATACTGAAGCAAACTCTCGCAAAGCCAATGCGAGCAGCTCGTCGCCAGTGCCAGTTCTCACACACTGTATATCAGCCAATGAGCGGGTGTACAAGTACTCTGCGGTCCCAGTGCACACGAGTGCGTTGGAAGATGCAGACAGGCACGACACCAACGCGATATGCATCTTCTCCTTTTGAATAGCCGATTGATTAGTTGCGTCTGCAAGGTATTGAATCACTTCGATGTTGAAAGGGGGCGGCGTGCCCGAAGTGCGCAGGCAAGTTTTGAATTCTACTGCAATGGCTTGATAGTGCTGGGAACTCAACAATCGCTGGACGTGGTTGCAACGATGTTCAAACTTAATTGAGATGTTCTTATCCCTGAGCCCCCCGCGCTCTGGATCACCTGACAGAACTGCTACTATCGCTTTCGATGACGCGTGCCCAATGTTTCGCTTCAGCGCGATCGAATACCCACCAAATACACTGACATTCCTTTTCCCTGGCCTCATAAAAATTTGTTCGTTGAGTGATTTGATCTGGAGCTCATGGCCCTTCAAAACGTGCGACAAATTCTCTGATTTCTGCTTGTAGTAATTCCGACTGGCGCTTATCTTGTGGCAATCGTCTCTCAACCGAGCTATCTCTATATCTTTGTCCAGAAGCGCCAACTGAAGCTCATCTCTTGATTTGTCTCCATATTTGTCAGAGAGGCATTCGGCGATGCTGGTCTCGAGCCTGCATTGGCCATGCCCGTCCTGGACAGCTGGAACGATGCAGGCGACTGCGACACCGTCGTCTGCATCAACGAGCCGACGGCGAACCATGTCTATGTGTTCTGGCCCGAGCTGTGTGGCGCACGTTGCGTTCAGACATTTGTGTAGTAGTTCCAGGGGGACTTGATTCGAAGACCCGCTGCCGAAGGACCCAAGTGCAGAGCGGATCGCCTGCCTCATTCTAGAATGCTCACGCCGCCGTTCTGCGCCAGTTGAGCTAGCTTCGTCGGTAACAACAAGTGCGATCGAAGCAACATTGGAAATTGAAAAAGCACCCAACACAAGACATCGCCTCAAACGCCTGGACTCAACGAAAGATATAATATCACTCACGATAGCCTGGGCAGTGGGTGGCATCACAATGAAACACTTGAAGCCAAAACGGCTACTGATATTCACGTGCATTGGTTTGCTGTTTAGGGGTGACATTTGTTGTTCACGTTCATTTTCCTTGGTGGCTGTAGGGCTTTACTGCTTGTACTGTTTGTAGTGTTTGTACTGTTTATTCTGTTTGTACTGTTTGCACGTATTCACGCGCTGCTTGTCATACTGTTTGTACTGTTTGTAATGTTTGCACGTCTACTGTTTGTATTCTTTGTACTGTTTGTAATGTTTGTAGTGTTTGTACTGTTTGCACGTGTATACTGTTTGTACTGTTTGCACATCAGGACCACTTACTGCTTGTCGTATTCACTGTTTGTCGTACTGCACGTTTACTGATTGCCGTATTCACTGTTTGTCGTATTTCACGTTTATTGTTTGTCGTTTTCCCCGTTCCGTTCCCTCCCCCTCCCCTTCTCCCTCGCCCTCCCTTTCTTTCCGCCCTCCTTCCCTATCCTTCCTCCCCTCCTCTCTGGCAGAGAGGCTCTCTGCCCTCCCCTCCTCCCCTTCGGGGGGGGGCCGCGCCTCGGAGACGGCGAGGGCCCAGGGGCCCAGGAGGGCGCGCGCGGCGACCCGCCGCGAGTCTCGGGCCACCGGTGCGGGCGACGGCAGGGACGCGGGGGCGAACGACGAGGGCGACGGCGACGACGGTAAGGGTCACGACAACCCACCGAAGGATTCCTAAGGATTTCCTTTTTCGGGGGAGAGGGGGAGGAGGAGGAGGAGGAGGAGGAGGAGGATACTGAGAAAAAGGAGGATAATAAGTTGTGCAGGAGGAACGGCAGGAGGAGGACGAGGACGAGGAGGAGGAGGAGGAGGAGGAGGAGGATAATGAGTTTTTGTTTAATGGACATGTCCGCCAATCCCTCTAGGTGACACCACACTGCGAGTTGTGATAAGTCTTGGCTGCTTACAGACTTACAGAGGACATACACTACTGTATGGGAGCCACCCTTGACCTGTCAATGGCCCTCGAAGATGGATTTCCGCCCGATGCAACCTACCCAGTCGCCGCGGAGCCAGCCTTCGTCGACCTCGGCAGCCTCGCGACCGGGCCCCCCGGTCTGGCCGGGCCGCCGCGCTGCTCGCCAGGCCGCGCCTGCCGCGCGGACCGCGCCGGGCCCTCTGCAGGGCGTGAGGCGCAGGCCGGCGGCGGCGACGCCGCGCCCCCAGACCCCTCGGGAGCGGGCGGCCGAGACGCGGCCGCCGCCGGGCGTGCAGGTGCTCAACGCCGCCGCGGTGCGCACGGCGAGGGGCAGGGAGGCCTACCAGATGCTGCACACCGCGTTCGTGACTTGGGCCAGGAGCCAGCAGATGGCGCTGTCCTCGGCCGCGGACGTCGACAAGGCAGCGGTGGGCTACCTGCACGTGATGTTCGACGAGGGGAAGCACCTGACCTACGCCAACCGCCTCATCGCGGCCATCGCTTGGATGCGGCCCGAGTTCAGTCGGCACGGCCCGCTCCGCCTCCCGCGGGCGAAGCAGGCTGCTGCGGGCTGGAAGAACCTGGCGCCGCCGAAGAGCCGTCAGGCGCTGCCGATCGAGGTGGTCTTCCTGGTCATCAACTGGCTTCTCCTCCAGCGGTCCTACGAGGCCGCGCTGGCGGTGTGGCTGCTGTTCGAGATCTACGGTCGGCCGGGAGAGATTCACAAGCTGCGAGCCGTGGACCTCGTGCCGCCGCTGATGTCGCGGGGCGCGGCCCATCGCTTCTGGAGCGTGACGCTCCACGCAGCCGAGGTGGGCGACGTTTCCAAGACGAACGAGTTCGACAACTCCGTGCGGCTCGACCTGCCTCGTCATCAGCGGCTGGCCGCAAGCCTGGACTGGATGCTGGCGCGCAGGTGGGGCGCGGGCTGGAGGGCGAGCGCCCTCGCCCGAGAGGGCGGGGCCGCAGGCTTGCCCGGCTCGCTCTTCCTCATCTCGCCCGCGGACGTGTCCCAGGAGTTCCGGCGGGCGGTGACCGCCCTCGGCCTCCGCCGCCCCGGCGCCGTGCACCTGTGCCAGCTGCGGCACGCCGGGCCGTCTCACGACTCCGCGGCCTCCTGCCGAACGCTGGAAGAGATACGCCGCCGTGGCCGGTGGCGCACCTGGAGCAGCGTGCGCCGCTACGAGAAGGGCAGCCGCCTGACAGAAGTGCTGCATCGTCTACCTCTCTGGCTGCAGCGACACGGGGGAGCCTGCGTCGAACACCTGAGCCGACCCGTGTTCGAGGTGCCCTCACCTTTGCCGCAGCCCGTCTGAGCGCGCCTGTCATACTCGAGCTGTTTTCTGGGCATGGCGGCTTCGCCCGTGCCGCAGGAGCCATGGGCTTCTGGGTTCTCGTGTGGGACCTTTCTCTTGGGGAACAATACGACTTGACGCGCTCAGAGAATCGTGCCAAGATCAACGCGTGGCTCCGAGCAGGTTTGCTGCTTGGCTGGCACGCGGGCGTTCCTTGTAATACACTCACACGTGCCAGAGGATACGGTATCGGTCCACCAGCTGTCAGATCTGACGAGTGCCTTTTCGGACTCCCCGATCTGTCGTTTAAGTTGCAAGCTCAGGTTGATGCCTCCAACTGTCTGAACAAATTCGTTGCTTCGCTTGCCCGGGCCTCTCTGGCCCTCGGTGTGCCGTGGTCCGTCGAGAATCCCAAGACCTCTCGGCTCTGGCTTTTGCCGGACTACAAGCGCCTCCACCGCCGACGTGGTGTTGAGCATGTTGTTACTTCTATGTGCATGTGGGGTACCCGGTGGCGGAAAGACACAGGGCTCCTCCTAGGTTTGCTGGATCCCACGCCATGGCGTGACACCAGATGCCAGGGCTCGAAGCGTGGATTATGTGCTCGCACCGGCCAACGACATGAGATCCTCAGTGGCAAGAGACCCGACGGGACCTTTGCCACCAGTGCTGCAGCCATCTACCCTGTTCGCTTCTGTAAAGCTCTGGCCAGGTCATTTTATAATGCTCACGTTGCAAAGATTGCTGCCTCTTTCCAGAGGCACCTGTGAGAATTCGGCGCTACCAGCTTGCAAGCATGCCTGCAGATTTGGCATGTAAAGTGTGTGCTCTGTCGACCTCGCCGTGGCGTCTCGCGCCACCACACGCAGCTCGCCCTCACACCTGACTTCTGGCAAAAACGAGCTCTGATGATATTTGTGCTTGCACGGTTTTCATCTGCGCAATCCGCCGCCATTCGGGGGCTCAAGGCGCACCATCCAGCCATCCCCACCTCCTCCTTCTTCTTTTAACCTTGCTCCTTGGCATGTAAAGTGTGTGCTCTGTCGACCTCGCCGTGGCGTCTCGCGCCACCACACGCAGCTCGCCCTCACACCTGACTTCTGGCAAAAACGAGCTCTGATGATCATCATCACCATCATCATCATCATCACCACCACCACCATCATCATCATCATCAGCATCATCATCATCATCATCATCATCATCACCACCACCACCATCATCATCATCATCATCATCATCATCAGCTTCATCCTCCTGGAGTTGGAGGGGTGTTCGGAACGGGAGGGCAGGCCAGACAGTTGGAGGCGTTTTTCGAGCCACCTGGCGCCCCGCCCGCAGGTGCGGCGCAGGCTGGACGAGGGAGAGCTGGGCAGCCGCGAGGCCAGCCCTGTGCGGCTGATCCGGCCGTCGTCGTCGGGGAGGAGGAGGGGGAGGAGGAGGAGGAGCAGGAGGGGGAGAAGGAGGAGGAGGAGGAGGAGGAGGAGGAGGAGGAGGAGGAGGAAGGAGGAGTTCGCGTCGCCACGGAAGCGAAACCGCTGGCGGCTCGGATGCGGGCCTCTCGGGGCGGTCCTCAACGTCTCCCCCGCTCTGTCGAGCTCTGCTGGCTCGGGCGTCGTACGGCGGCGACGCCCGGTCCTCCCCGGTCAGGCGGGGCGATGGGGAGGAGGTCGGGGGCGTCCAAGACGGGTGAGGACTAGCCCTCGACCTGCACCGTCCGCCCCTTCCGCACGGAACGTGCTCCGTTGATGCGGCTGCGGCGGCCGCCGCGGCCGCCTCTGCGGCCTCGACGGTGGCCGCCGCTGCGGCCGCGGCGGCGGCCGCGGCAGCGCGTGCAGGTTGAGGGAGGGGAGCGCGTGGGCTCGGAGCCGTTTGGGGGCTTGAGCGAGATGGCCCAGCGCTGGTTCCTTTCAGCAAGGAGGGCAGGCAGGTTCGAGGCTCTGGGCTCGGGAGGGTCTTTTGCTTGTTTCCGGCCTCTGAAGCCGCTCTCGGGCCCCAGAGGGCAAGACTGCACCAAGTGGACCTCGGACCGATGTTGCGCGGATTTGGCTGCATCCCCCCCTCCTGGCCGATTTTCTGGGGCCCCAACCTGTTCAGACCCCCTGACCGCCTCCGACTTCCAACTCGTCCCCTGGCACCCCCTCGTCTGCGCACGTGCCTCGGGGCCGCGATGCGCCCCTCCCCCTCCCCCCTTCCTGGCCCCCCTCTGCTCGGGCGGGGCCAGGACGAGGAGCAGTCGGTTACAGAGCGTTCTGGAACGCTCCCAGAGCGTTCCAGGACGCTCCGGGATGGCGATGTCGATGCTTCCTCCCGAGCCGCTGGACCGCAGAGATTCTCGCCGTATCCTCGTGCGCCCGATCTTCTCCTCGTCCTGGTTTCGTTTTTGTTTTTCCTCGGCGCACCCGGGCAGGAAAGGGGGGGGCCGCCGCTCGTGGTGCCGCGCCTGTCCTCGCCCGCCGCCGCACGACGCCCAGCGCGCCTCGGGCCGAGCGCCCCGCTGGGAAGAGGCGTGGGGCGCGGGGGGGCCCGCAGCGGCGCCCGCCGCCGCCGCCCTGGCTGCACTGGGATGAGGGGTCGATTGTCCACCACCGCTGCCAGAAGTAGGACGGGGGAGAAGGGAGTATGGGGAGGTCCTCCTCCTCCCCGTCCTCCTCCTCCTCCGCCTCCTCCTCCTCCTCCTCCTCCTCCTCCTCCTCCTCCTCCTCCTCCTCCTCCTCCTCCTCCTCCTCCTCCTCCTCCCTCCTCCCTCCTCCGCCTCCTCCTCCTCCTCCTCCTCCTCCTCCTCCTCCTCCTCCTCCTCCTCCTCCTCCTCCTCCTCCTCCTCCTCCTCCTCCCTCTCCTGCCCATGGTAGCGGTGGCGGAAGATCGGCCCACCACGGGAAGCGAGGCCTTCTGGCAGCTGCCCTGGCCGGGGGGCCACGCCTCGCCATGGGGGAAGCGGGTCCTGAGGGACGCGGGTCCCGAGGTTTTTTTCCGCGTTCGGGCCCTCCACAGGCCCTCCACAAGCCCGGGGTTGCACCTCTCTGTGTGCCTCTCGGATGCTTTTCGGAAGTCTCCCCGACGCCTCGTTGGAGAAGCACTGGGCGGTCTCTTAGGCCCGGCCTCATGGGGCACTTGTGCGGAAACGGCTCGGGAGAGGGATCTCGTCCCGGGGGGAGGCCCCCGGGGTACAGCGGGGGCGCGTACCAAGAAACCAGATGCTCTTCGTCGGGATATTTTGGGCTTCTTCGCTCCGCGCGCTGCGCGGTGACTTCCCGCGGCCGTCAAAGAAGCTGCTGCGTTCGGGGTGCGCCGTGTTTTCCCGCAGGCGCACCTCGCGCGCGGGTTTTCAGGGTCGGGTTTCTTGCGGGGGGTGTTCTTGCGGCCACGCCCGCGCTGTACGGGACCCGTTGCCCCCGCGGCCGCGCTTCCCCCGTGTGCTGCTGGGCGCGCCCGTGCGCCCGCGTGGCCTCGCCGGGACGGGCCGCGAGCGCGCCGAGCGTGCGAGGCGCGCCGCCGCAGGCCGCCAGGGCCCCGCGACTTGCCGAGCCTCCCGCCCTGCGGAGCGGAGCGGCACGCCTGCCGCTTGCTCGGTATAGCTCGGAGGAGGAGGAGGAGGAGGAGGAGGAGGAGAAGGAAAAGGTACCCATAGCTCTCCCCTCCCCTCGTTTTTCCCTTTCTGGGCCTCCTGGGCCTCCGTCGTCGCCACCGCCGGGTTCGCCTCGGGATTCCGGTCCGAACGCACCCCAGGAGAGGTCCGCGGAGTGGCGGCATCGGGACCTCTTGGCTTCCCCAACAGCGTGTCGGGGGTGCCGCCGCGGCGGCCGCGCCAGCCGAGAGTTCCCGGCCGAGCGCTGGAACGGGACGCGGGCGGGCGGGCTGCACCAGGCGCGGTGGAGACCGAGGGGCAGGCGGAGACTCACCGATCCTGGCGTGCCGAGGAGGGCCGCTCAGAGCCCGGGGTGCGGGAGAGTCGCGCGCCCGCAGTGGGGAGCGCGCGTGCAGGTGGCCGAAGAGGCTGTCAGGCCGCAGTTCGCGCGGAGGTCAGCACCGACACTCGGGGGGGATCCATCGGCCTCCCCCCTGAGGTTCGCAGGAGTGCGACACTGTGTGCCTGTCTGCGGATCTCGAGCCTCGAGCCTCGACCCTCGACCCCCGACCCCGCGAGGCGAGCCGCTTCTTCTTCGTCTTCTCTCAGGCCGTGGGGCAACAAAATCTATTCACATCCACTGCTCCCTGGGCAGGCCCATCCTGAACCCAGGAGCTGTGTATACGCCAGGAGCTGTGTACACGCCCTCCTGGCCGAGACGGAGGGGCTTGTCGAAGCTACCGCTGCTGGGTTCAGGGTGGGCCTGGCCAGGGAGCAGCGGATGTGTAGATCGGCGGCGAGCGAGGGGGGGAAGCGAGAGGGAGAAGGCCCTCTCTCAGGAGGCGGCCGGGCTCCCTACAAGGCCCCCAGCCTTCTGAGGAGGTCTCCCGTGCCCTCGGGGAAGGCCCCGAGAACACTTCGCCGGGGGACCTGCGCGCCTTCTGAGGAGGCCCGCCCCTTCTCGCTTCCCTCGCTCGCCGCCGCAGTGGGGGATGACCCGAGTGGGGGGCGAAGACAGGGCCCCTAAGGGCCTCTTGGAGCCCCAAAGGGCCCCTTGAGGGCTCTGCCTTCACCCCCTTGAGGGCTCTGTTTCCCTCGCCCCCCACGAGGGCTTGTCGCCGAGATATGTCTGGAACTCGTCACCCGAAGGCCGCGCTGCTGGACGGGGAGCTGGCCGGCAGGCTGGCAGAGACAGGCACCGCGGCGACCCCGCCGAGACCTCCGCCGCCCCGCGCGGGAAGGGGGCGAGCGCGGGTTGGTTAGCGGGAGGATCGAGGGGAGGAGGAGGAGGAGGAGGAGGAGGAGGAGGAGGAGGAGGAGGAGGAGGAGGAAGAGGAGGAGCACGAGGAGGAGGGAGGAGAGGAAGAGGAGGAGGAGGAGGAGGAGGAGGAGGAGGAGGTGGAGGTGGAGGAGGAGGAGGAGGAGCAGGAGGAGGAGGAGGAGGAGGAGGAGGAGGAGGAGGAGGATGGAAGCGACGGGGGGAAAAAGAGGAGAAGGCGGAGAAGGTGGAGAAGAAGGCTATGGATGATCGGACCGATTCGGCGGAAGGTAACGTCAAGAGCCGCAGCGCCGCCTGAGAGAAGGATGAGGAAGGAGGCAGGAGGGAGGAGGGAAGAGTAAGACAAATAATGCATGATCATACTGCTAAGAAGGATAAGGAGGAAGGAGGGGGATGAGGAAGGAGGGAGATGATGATGATGATGATGATGCTGATGATGATGATGATGATGCTGATGCTGATGCTGATGCTGATGCTGATGCTGATGATGATGAGTGATGAGTGATGAATGATGATGATGATGATGATGATGATGATGATGATGATGATGATGATGATGATGATGATGATGATTATGATGATGATGATGATGGTAATGATGGTGGTGGTGGTGGTGATGATGGTGATGGTGATGATGATGATGATGCAGAGATGATGATGATGATGATGATGATGATGATGATGATGATGATGATGATGATGATGATGATGATGATGATGATGATGATGATGATGATGATGATGATGATGATGATGATGGTGATGATGGTGATGACGAGTTGCTGCTGCCGCTGTTGATGATGATGACGATGATGATGCGATGATGATGATGATGATGATGATGATGATGATGATGATGATGCTGATGATGATGATGATGATGATGATGATGATGATGCTGATGATGATGATGATGATGATGATGATGATGATGATGATGATGATGATGATGCTGATGATGATGATGATGATGATGATGATGATGATGATGATGATGATGTGATGGTGATGGTGATGGTGATGGTGATGGGGAGAGGAGGAGGAGGAGGAGGAGGAGAGAGGAGGAGGAGGAGGGTGAGGAGGAGGAGGAGGAGGGGAGAGGAGGAGGAGGAGGAGGACCAGGAGGAAGCCCAACATGCATCGGCGAAGCTGCAATACACCTCCTGTCCCGAGTCTCTCCCCCAAGTCCAGACAAGCCTTCAGCTTCACTACAGGAAGCGCCCCCTTGAAAGACCAGCTTCCGAAAGGCCTGCCATTCAGGCGAGGGCACAGTTTCGAAAAAGGAGGAGGAGGGAGGAGGAGGAGGAGGGAGGAGGAGAAGATCGAGAGGAGAAGCAGGGGGATCAGGAGGCTCTTGCATGGGGGGAAGGGCCGCAGGGGAGCGCGAGGCGGCGGCGGGGCGGCCGCGGAGCGCGCCGCCCGCAGTGCAGCTGGGCCCGGAGGCGCTGAACGGGCAGGACCTCGCCGTCATGCTGCCGTGCCTCG